ATAAGGAACAGTGCCTAGCCAGGAGTAACTGGATATGCGAATAGAGCATGCAGAACAAGTGTGAACCAAGTTTGAGTGGTGTGGAAAGAAAACTATAGAAATGTCATGGTTGATCACATACTCTTGTAGAAAAAAGTAATGTAATATTGGGGTGTATAAACAGAGAAATAGCCTGCAATATATGTAAAGTTACCCAGCTCTGCCTAAGACTGTTGGGGAGTGAGCTGGAGTGCAGTATCTAGTTTAGGGTACTGCACCTCAGGGAAGATGCAAACCAAAATGAGCGTAGAGAAGAGTGGTTAAGAATGATCAGAGGCCTTGAAACTGTGACTAGTAAAAGGCTGAAAGAAACATGGTGTTTAGTCAGAGAAAAGGGGAGACATCATGTTCTTTTAATTCATAAATGGATCCTTTAGGGAAGGGAATTTTGTTTCCACTGCTTATGATAAATTGATCAAAAAGTCATGGGCTTCAACTGCAGCAAGATTTAGTGAGATTAGGAAAAGCTTTCTGGTGATAAAAATAGTGAAGAACTGGAATAGCTTGCCTGAGGTTGTGTGATGCCTCCATTGTTAGAGATCTTTAAGAACAGGTTACAGAAGAACATGTCAGAAATGGCATTGGTAGAGTTGATCCTTCCTTTTGGCAAAGGGATGGACCAGATGATCTTTTGAGGTCCCTTTTGGCTTTATGGGTCTGTGATGCACAGTCTCTACCTCATGCTGTGTTACTTGCATCAAGGCAAATAAACAGTCTTGTACTTGATGCCGAACCCTAGTGGCTCTGAAACAAAGCCAAATCTCTTGGGAAGTTGTATTATGCACAATATTTTGATTATGACTAATGCATGTGGTGTTTGGGGTTTTTTTTTCTTCCAAAAGGTCAGTATTTTAGTCTTTCAAAATCTTTCTGCTTATGACATTACACCAGTTCTTCTATTTCCTTTATGCTATCTATGAGAGGGGGATAGCAGCCAAAGAGAGTTAACTTCTTCTCTGGAGTCTAACTGACTAACATTTTTGTTGCCCGTGGCAGCACTGATGAGGATTGAGTTTGACAAATTAAAAATGGTTTCCAAGCCAGTTTTTGTTAATTGAGTATGTAAAAGTATTGTCCAGCATGTGCTTATCTCTGCAGCTCTTGCCCAGATATTTCCCTGGACAGCTTATACAATAGTATTTTTTTTTTCCTTTCCTTCAAATAAGCACAGAAAATCCACATGGCTAAAACATGTTATAGGAAATGAAGCCAATCTGGCAGAAACAGTTTTGCCTTTATGCCCAGCAATTTTGTAAGTTCTTTGTAAGAAAGAATGGGGAAGAGGAGGGGAAATAGATCATTTGAAATGAGAGCTGTATTTCTTCTACTTTGAGGACTCTAAGGGCAATTGAACAAACTGTTCTAAGGTTCATGCTAACAACACTCTTGAATTCAAGGCTGGCACAGTATTAGGTAGGATATTCTCTGTTTTGCTACCTGTGTGATAACAGCCCATGAAAAACAGCCCTGTGCCTCTGGTAAGAATCAATAGCTGCGCGCTCTTGCTAGGTAGCTGTCTGTTACCCATAAATCAGACCGTCATATCTTAGGGCAAGTGGGATTGTGCTTAAACAGTAGTTTGAAACATGAGTAAAATCAGTACGTATAAAATGATTTCCCATTACAGCTCCTCTTGATGTGATGTTTACTGGACCACTCTGCCCTTTTGTCCTGAAGGAAAAAATCCCTAATGTGATCAGCAGCCCTCAACGGGGGGGGATTAAGAATCGAGACAGTTGAGCAGATGATTGAGAGGCCATATGCTCCATACGGAGGCTGAGGAAGTTCTCGGTGTCCTGCGTAGCATGAGGCACGGCTGGATCCAGAAGAACCTCAGTCTCTTCTCAGGTGCATGGAAGTTAAGAGTACAGCCTGGAGACGACAGAATGAATTAGCACACTTGGCCCAGCACCTCTCTGGCAGGGTAGTATGGGAGCACGTAAACGAGGAACAGACTACTTAACTCCTGTCAGTTTGCAGGAAATGGTTCAGAGACGATCAAAAACTAAACTCTTTCCAACTGATGGAATGGAAATAATGTGGGAATAGGCCTAGCTTGCTACAGGTTTAGTATCTCGGCAAAGAAAGCTCTATGCCTTATGAACTGTAAACCCAGATTACAAAATTAACATCCAACTGATAAAAAGATGCTTAGGTTAGAATAAAAACCCAAAACTAACTAATCCCCTTTGTTTCAGTGCTGTTTCTTTCTTCGGTTTATATCCTTTGCAAATCCTTAAAAAGACTTTTGGATTGCTGAGGAACCAGCCAACTAACAGTTTCCTTTTCCAGTTTGCCAACAAAACCATGTAGTTTTCATGGGATAATTCAAAGACAGTTCCTCTGACAGGTAGAAAATATTGACAGATAATGTTATAGAAGTCAACAATCTCAGATTCAATCAAAAGTCAGAAAATAATAACTACTGCTACTAACTAAGAAAAGGAAGAGGCAGGAGGAGGGGTTATGTGTAGTGGCAGTTTGGAGGTTTTCAGAGTCAGGTTTCTCCACCCGAATGCTCTCTCAAAACAGTTGTAGTGGAAATAGCGAAACCTCTCCAAAACCCATCTAACTCCCAGATGTATATCCCAGCACAGTCAGCTTAGAAAATAGCAGGGAAGGACAATCAGAATTTCTTTTATCCCAATGCCAATCTTAATAGATTTTAAATGTAGTCGGATTCCTAACTAAGCAAAAGATGGGAACAAATAAATATTTTAGTTGTTTGTTTTGTGTTATTTGGAAGATTGTTCCTATCCTCTTATTGGCAGTGAATCGGAGACATGCTTGCAGAATTATTACTAATCTCTTCTTAGTACAGCGGGTACTACTGTTATTAGGTAATTTGATTGATGCTTCCCATTTTTGTGCTGGCATTGGTAACTGGAATCTACAGCTGCTTTATCTGTGGAGAACTGTGGAAGTGTTTGAAGTTACGTCCTGTATAAAGTCCATTTTCTTCCTCTTGTTTTTTCATACTTTCCCTAAATCATTAGGATTTTGCCCACCAATGCACAGAAGATTTCATGAAATTCTGGAACTGACTCGGTACAGGACCTGAAAGTTTTTCACATATGGGGTAAATAAGTTGAGGTGTCTGCCTGAAATCTCAAGTCTGTTATTTATATTATGCCCCAAAGGCTCCAGGCTGTTTGGCAAGAAATTAAAAAAAAAAACCATGCTGCTGCAGAAGACATTAATGGAAAAAAAAAATCAACTGAACAAAAAGGCCAGCATAAGTCATAAAAGGTGGTTTTGTGTTCTTAATATGCTGTTTTTCACATTACAGCTTTGTATGCCCTACAAAAAAAACCCTAAATACTGACACTGGGTGCTGCTGATGTGAGCAGATGAAAGCAATTTAACCGCAAGTGTTGACCAAGATGAATGGTATGCAATAGTGTTTCAGGACTTGTTAAAAGAACCTACTCTAAGCAGAGACTAAGATGGAGGAAAAACCTCAGGCAAAGGTCATGCTGCCTCTAAAACTTAAAAAAACAAACAAACAAAAAAACCCACCCCAATATAATTATGTAAAGAGCAGAGGGACCCAAAGTAGAGAGAATTTGTTTCTTGTACGAGTAGAAAAAGTGAGTCTGGAAAATCCATTCCAGTCTCCCAGCAGTGGTGAGCTGGAAATCTGTATGAAAGGGAAGGCGCAGATTCCTTGTACCGTCTGTCCTCCCACCTCCCAAGAAAGAAAAAGCCTGCTATCCGAAGCACGGGGTCTAATCCACAGACAGATACTTATGCATTAAAACACTGTACTTGGATCTTCGTAAAGGTTTAGTGAGTGAGGCACGATAGTATCTGTCCTTGCAAACCCTTCAGAATAGGACAAAACGGGGGGAAGGCTGTGAATTATTATAATATGCAAGGACACTAACTTGTGGGTTTTTTCTTGTCTGCAGCTAAGCAGAGATTAACATGACCAAAACCGTTTATTTTGGAAAGAAGAGTACAGGAGGGGAAATGAGCATGGCAGAGAGAAGACGAGTTAGATGTTGCTATTTTCACTAAAAGAACTATGAATCTCTAATACCACTGAAGGCAACAAGCTTCATTTGACAAAACATTTTTAATGTACTGCCCACAAGAATTAATGGGAAAGCAAAAATGACTTTCAATACAAGTCTCCTTAATGTTTGCAATTGCAATACCTGAGCTATCCTTGAGATGGTGCAAATGACACACTGCTGACTGACTGCTGCTATCATTAAGGGACCAGAAGACAGAAAAAGGAAAGTGCTAATTATATCCCTGTACTTTTCAGTTTTCAGAGTTTGTTTTCTTTTCAATTGTTTGGAACAAGTCTCTGAAAACTGGCAACCACTTACAGCAAAACTGCTGCTGCTCTAACAATTAGCTATTCTTATTTGTCCCCATTCTGGTTTTCCACTTTTTTTTCCCCCCAAATCCACCACCTAAACGATGGCATTATTTTGTTGACCTGTGATTTTTGACTTTTTCTGAACAAATTGCAACGTCTAGGAATGAATAAATCCTGGGTGAAAGACGCTGGAGAAAAAAGCATGTGTCAGAGGTTGAGTGAGATATTTTGAGGAGTAATAGCAAGAAAGGAAATTACTTGTTGAGCTTACTGAAGCAGCAAACCGCTTTTTAAAGAATTTGTGCTTAACGCTTTAAAACAAAACTAAATCTTATTTCTTTATTAAAATAATGCAAGTGTTCAGCAACAGAAATTATTCTTTCCAAGCCTTTTTATTGCGATAATATCCCAGTCCTTCCTATCTTTCTGTAATCTACAGACCCACCTGCAAACTTGTAATTTACCGACTCCCTCAAAACTTCCGTCTCATTTGTTGTCTCCATCATCATTATCATCATCATCATCCTGTTTATTTATAGCTGTAATAACGGCCAGCAAAACTGTCCCTTACCAGAAAAGCTTCCCTCCTTCTCACTCTGCCTTCATTGGATCCTGCTCTTTTGAACTGATCAGAACAGACAAATGTAGCCACCCACCTCTAGGAGGAAAACTGAGCTGCAGCCCTGGTGAAACATAAAGTTTATTTGACTAAAGTGACGCAAAAATTCTTAAAGAGCTCTTTGGCAGCAGATTATCTGGAAATCAGACCATGTGAGGGGGATTGGTGTACAAAAACCTCACCAAGATGCTGAGTTGCCCACAGGCTGAGTTCCCGAGACTCTGAAGTAAATGTGGGTGAAGGTTACTCGAGCTTGGATAACTCCAAGGAAAACGCTTCAAACCCATCCGAAAGACAGGTACTTTATAATTTTGTTTTTAACACACTGCTATCTAAAGTACTCTATGAAATTCAGAGAGACTCCTAGACGGCTGTCTTCAGAGCCTACCTTCTGAAGCAAGCAGGTACTGGAGGTTTGTTAACTTTCACTCCTCATTGCCTCTTTCAACTTTGGTTATAAAATCTGAAATACTAATGACAGTCTAAAATATGTATACTATATTTTGTTTCATTTTAAATTAACTTTTAAGGTCTTAGAGTAATTTCTAAAACATTGGGAAAATGTACATCTAACAAAGCTTCTGGGGGGAAAAAAGATATGTTGATTTTTGGTGAAAGTTTGCTTTGATTTTTTTAAACTTTTTATGCTTTTTCTTGCTTTTCTGATGTTGTATGCTTTACTCCGTCTCGTTCAGGCACTTGTCCAGCAGTTATGAATGCTGGGAGTCAAATGCCTGTAGCAGAACATGTTATGACAATCTGAAATTACAATTTTGGCAGTCCATATAATTGCATTATGAATGTAAAGTTTACTTAAAATTTACAAGAAAGCATTAAACTATAAGGAAAAAATAAAGGAAAGAAGCAGAATCTGAAGGAAAAAAAATCAATGCAAACTGTTACTTATTTTAAAAGGGTAAAGTAAGCTTTATTAACCGTATTAAGTTATATTTTAAATGGTAAACTGTTCCAGCACAGTAAATTATCTAAGTCAATGGGACAGATTTATTGTAAGTAATAAATCTGAAGAGTATGTCATATATAAATTTATGGTCAATCATGTTTACTGCTGGAACCAGCTGGCTTGCTGGGTTAGTTTGCTAAGTAATACGGAAGTTTAAGTGAGACATGCAATGCAACTGAATATATAAATAGTCATGGAAAACATATTTTGATGTGTTAAGAAAGCCTGGGGAGAAAAGGATCATGCATTTAATGGATTTGGATTCTTGGAAACGTGGAATTTTTTTAATGTGGGTTGTTGGCTGTCAGGCATTTTACCAGGGGAGGTCTCATACACTTGGGCTTCATCTTCTGGTGCTTTTGATGAAGGAATTGACCATAATTTTCTTGGAGAGTACTTTGTAAACTTGGCATATAGCAAATGACTGTTGTGGGTCCATTTTCTAATAGGACAGGGTGTGATGAATTTCAAATGGTTATATAAATCAAGAACAACTGCCCCAAAACTGGAATTTAATAAAACCCCTAAATTATTCCCACACATGGAATTGTGCAGTGTATTTAAGCTCTTTCCTGCTTTCCTCCATGGAAATATAAACTGTCAAGTTTTCATTAGGAACAGTATTAAGAGCCTAAAGAAATGTTCGTTCTGTGTCCTGGTGTCCTTTCTGATGCTAATGTTTTAACTCTTTTCCAAAACTGTATATTTGCAGCTCTGTTGATCTGGCAATCTGTATCTCACAGAACTTACACAACATAATGAAGCCCGTCTATGGGATAAGTGTTGGAGCCCGAATAAAGGGGCTGTAATTTGGAGATAGCCATTAACAAGTCTCCTTCAAAGAAACATCATCTGGAAACAATGGTGAATGTTTCTTTACTGTCTCTAGGTAAAAACATTACAAACAGAAGGATATGCATGCTGGCCTGTACATGCAGCCAGTCTTTGACTTGAGTCTGCAAACAGGTCTTTTACTTGACACACTGTGCCCATTAATTTGCCTGTGCAGAGTTATATTAAGGAACAGGGCTCTATTTATTTGGTGATATTTGCTGTGTTATGACTCTTCCTTCAAGTTTATATAAATAATTTGAGGAAGAATACAAAAGGAATATCATTCTCTCTAAGCTTATCTGTTTCCTTGCACTACATGTGGGCACTCCCGAGCCATAAAATGCATTTTCTCCACACACACCCCCACGCCGTTCTTTAAATGACTGTCATCAGTTTGGCAGCATTCCCACTACAATACAGTGTCTGTCTTCTCAACAAATTTTTAAAGGTAAAATGTCTCTTTCCTGCTGACTTTTTAATTTCAGACTGAAACATGGACCAGATTATGACGTAAAACTCACAGTACAGGTTTATATTCCCCCAATACTATTGCTTTCAGAAGCACTATTTTCACATCTTACTTATATTTAGCCTTATCTGGGAATACACGAGTTAACTGGAGAGAGCTCACTACTTTTGCCATTCTTGCTTTGGTAAGTAGCCTTTTATTCTCCAGAAGGGCCATTGTCTCGGTGGGACTACTTGTTGAGTACAGTTCTACTCTGTTTTAGTAAGAATGTGAGCAAGCCCTTGGAGAACTGCAAATATTCATACACAGGATCCATTTTGTCATCTATATACTGCAAGTTTCTTATAAAATACTCACATATTACAGTGATGTGCAGAAGTACCCAATCCAGTTACATTTAAAATCACTGGCACTGGGATCAGACCTGCTACGTATGGAAATAATTCACTGGACCCACTTTGATCACTCTTTATCAAAAGTCAGTTTTGATTCTCTTAAACTAGACTAGAGAAGCACAGCTAAAAAAAAATCCTGAAGAAATCAATTTTCAGTTGTTGAGGGGTGGTCTAGATATCAGCTTATATCTGCTTTGCACCTAATACCTCTGATTCTGTGGTAACCACAGCAGCCCTACCAAAGCTGGGACTCGGTATCTTCTTACTATGTATTTATGGGTATCAGTTTTTGAAATCTGAAATACAATCTGTCACACTTGCTATCGGCTCACCTAATGGAAACAAGCTAATAGAAAAGGATATTCTAGGTACTAATTTCTTAATGAAATCAGTATATGTGAACACAGTCAAAAGCAAAAGGCATTATTTTTTGCGTTATGAACTCTAAATATGACTCGTATGACAAACAGCAGGTAAAATTCATCATAACTTAGTGCAACCTAGTTTCAAGATTTAATTGGCTGAAATTTTTATTTTCTAACAACTCCTCACAGTATGGGAGCATCTGAGCTATCCCGTAATAACTTTGATTAAAGGGTTACTCCTGGCCTGTGCAAAATCAGAGGAAAAATATGAAGCTTTTATAGTCCTTCACACCACATGTGCAGCAAAACAGGAACGCACTAGCCCACAAAAGCCTGTCAAAAGGAATAATCTTTACGAGGTTCTCACTGCCATCCAGGTCACGTACCTCCCCTCCTGTGTAAAAAGACAGACTAGGACTCAGTGAGGAGAGTGAAGGCCAGAGATGTTTACTGCTATATTTATCAGAGTCCAGTACCTGGAAACACCCAGGTACGTGCCTGTCGGAGGGTCATGGTTGATGTTGTGGCTCAGAGGTGAGAACAGTACCTGCGATAAACACCACAGCCTTTTCCTGCGTGGGATACATGATTTCTATCTCGTCAAACAAACTTCCTGCTTGATTTTCTAGACAAGAGTTATTTCCCTGGACTGCCTGTGTGAACTGCATCTTTATTGCAAGGTGTAATATTCAGTCAAGCAGCTACATAATTTTAACAATCTTAAATATTTTGTGATAAAAGTGAGATTTAGGACAAGTTAACAGAAATCATCTTAATGTTTCATTCTGTTTGCCAACACTGTAGGCTAACGTTTTGTCTTAGAGTTCCAAGTACTTTAATTCTTTGCAAGTGCTAGCATGTAAATGGACAGAAGTAAGGCAGATGGAGGAGCAGTGTGACAGTGGTAATGTGAGTTTTGCTACAGGAATGCAGCTGTAACCCCGTGAGTGGCTGGTACTCCAGCAGGCGTTGGTTTATAAAATTAGCATATGAACAAATAATATAATTTGTATGAAGTGAAATATATGCAAATATACAGATTTTGCAACTGTGCAGGTTAAAATGTATTTCATCATTTGGAGATGAGTAATGACTTCTGTAGCCACGCACAGTGGGGCTGTGCGCAACACAGTGGGGCTCAGCACAACCCTCGTGCTGAGGAATTCAGGTCAGTGTTGCCTTGCCTCAAATCAAGTATTCTCCAGGTGCATTAAGATTTGCCTCCCTTGAAGCATCTGGTATTTGCTGCACCTCAACCTAATTGTTTTAATCTCCTAGACACATTAAAAGTCAATTTTCTCCTTTAAAAAAAATACAGAGAACAGGAAAATCATTTTGTTTTAAAGTGCTGGAAGGATTTGGTTTACTGCAAGGCAGAGCGTTAAAGGAAAGGGATTGCCACTCTGCCACGAGAGGTCACTGCATGCCTCAAGAAATGAGCAAGGCGATGACGCATCGGTTGTGCAGCTCCCTGCTCGGGAAGGAACCGGACCCCAGGCCAGGGATGCTCCTTGAGGACTGCTTTGATAGAGGCAAAGGAGTTGGTTTTGTGCATCAAGGGACATACAGGGCTTTTACATCTACAGTGCTGGTTCAAGTTTAGCTCTGTGTGGGAGTAACCAAAAATTATAATTTAATTAATATTTGGCTTATGTGAACTCTGTTGGTGGCTTCAGCCAAGCTCGTGGAAACACATGTCTTCAATTATCCATCCTAGTGTTTTCAACAAACAAGCAATGCAGGGAATAGTTGTAGAGCACACGCTGCTTGTTACAGGGTGCTTCTCCGGAGCAGAGCTGAGGGTCACTCCTCTTTAGTCACTCTTTGCATAAAGGGGGAGTGCAATTTACAGGGCTGGCAGCATGGCACCTTTCACGTGCTCCTGGACAACACAGCATTACGGAGATAGATAAAAACTGCCCTTCAGAATAATTTCTGTTCAGACCTACTGGAGAGAGAAAAGGCGCAGATGCTTAGGGCCTCTCAAAGAAGCAAAGTTATGTCTACAAAACACAGATGAAAACGAAACGAAGGCACAGCTATCTTTCTTTTTCTTTTTTTTTTCCTTCTTCTTCTGTAGCTAATTATGTTGGCGATAAGAAGCCAATGTGTATTTATGTAAAAGCAACCTTTGCAACAGCTCAGATTGAAAATAGGTAATAAACTGCCATTTCTTATATCATTCACTGTCGTCATTCTAGCACCTGTAACTACTGAGCGATCGGTGCGCAGAGATGAAGTGGAGGCTGAGGTGGGCAAAATCCTTCACTATTACCATAATTTTCCCCTGGGTATCTTCCCTAGTGGTCCTAGCATACTTCTCAACCCCGAGAGCTCTAGTTCTGCAGCTGTTTACACTGTTCGTAGTGGTTACAATTCCTTCAGATATTTTTTTTCTTGAATTGTAACAAGAGGGGGGAAAAAGTACATTCTCCCACAGCTTTTTACAGTGTAATGAAATCTTCCGATTCTGTAACTGTTCTGTTTTCATGTGCCAACTATGCCGCTGTGAACACCACTGCATAGCTGTAGAGTCCGTCACTCCAGATTTCCCAGGGTAGCTGACAAGCTGTAATTCTCTTTCAGAAAGGAATAGTTCAAATTCCAGCTGAAGCCCCTGAAAGTTCACACATCATTTTGCATATTTGAGGCTCAAACCACTGAAAATTCTGCAAAAATATTTCAAATAATGCGATATGTCTTTCCTGTGGTCTGCAGAAGACCAGGAGGGGCTTAGATCTGGATAAGACAACTATCCTGATTGTCACAGATCCGGGAAATCAACAATACTTTCAACGACCTCTCCTCCGTAAAGAAAGTGCCGAGAAGTATCTACGTGCAGAAATAAAGTGTTTTACAAATACACTAAGAGTTTAAGCCTCGGGTATGGAAAATTCAGTCTCATGAGATAATGGAGTTAAATCAACATCCTTTACTGCTTTCCCATTTATGAGTAAGAGGTGTAAAGTCCAGAAGGGCTCAGGTTACTTTTCCATATTCCTACCTTATATTTAACATGCTTTATACAAGAGGAGGATTGGCTGTGGCCTTTCCTAGGATTTTTATGTTGCCACCAGTGGTGGTAGGGCTGTTTTCATCTACACAAGCTCTTTTGGGACATTTGGAAGGTTTCGGACTCCAAAGACATTCAGGTTTTATAGTCTCGCAGGTAAAAAAGAACTCCTGTTCTTTGCCATAGTATTTTTCTCTGGAACTCTGAAGATGTTTCAGCCTTTGTGGATGATTAACTAATGGTAGCGAAGTACTGCTCTTATAAGAATTCAGCATTAATGATGCACTGCTTGCTGTATGATGAAAAGAACACCTGGGTAAAGACAGAATGTGAGCTTGAAGAAATAGAGATTTCTGAAAGTTACAAACAACACCTTCAAGAGACTTTTATCTTGAGAACATCCTCCTGTCTGCTCTGCAGCTCTCGGTAACTTTCCTTCTCTTTCTGCTTGCACTGATAAATGTTTAGGGAGAGGTTTAACAGTCTTTGCACAAGGCTGAAAGCTGGGAAAAACTTGAGTTTTAATAGCTCTGGCAATGAGCAAATAATATCCCCTCTCTGCTTTAGTTTTTCCAACAATTAAAAGTGAAATAATGCTTGTTCTTCTGCTAGGATGTGACATTGATATTTACTGTGGTAAAATGCTTTGAAAAGGAAAAATTAGATGTAATTATAATAACTTAAATCTGTGGTGGCATTGTGTAGATTGTGTAACACTTTGCTAGCTATACAGCAAGGTTACTACCCCAGGGAATTTACAGCACAGAGGATCAGCTCCTATTTCAAGATTTTGTTGAGTAAAGGCAGCTGGGCATTTACATTACCTGAACAAATGAGCAGAAAACAAAACATGACCCACTGAATCACAGTTCATTTTCTGTTTTTTTTGTTCTGAAGGAAAAGTTAATTGTTTTATACTTTTTCTTTATTTCAGGATGGTTTATTTCCCCTGGATTACGCTTCTAGCATGTATGAAGAGGGCAGGTAAAGCCAGGGATTCTCCCAGTGCCTTTATTTTTGCTGGCGGTGGACAGTAGAACAGGAGTAGTGCCCACTACCCTTCCCGGGTCTGGAACCACAGTGTTAGCAGATCCAAAGAGAATGATATGCCTTTATTTCCCCAAGGAGTTAAATAAAACTGGGGACAAGTTTTGCCCTTTAGACCAATATGTTAGTTCTTACTCAAAACGATCAAATTGAAGTTTCCTGATCTTTTTTACCTTGTTATTAGCGTTGACTGAGCCTCAAAAGTTACCTGATGCAAAACCACTGAGATTTAAATACTTTTTCTAAACTTTTGTTTAAGCCTTCTAGGTCTGCTGCTAAACATAGCAGACACTGTGGGATTTCTGAAGAAAGGTGGTCATGAAATGTAATTTGTATATCCATTGTTATCTCATATTTGTTTAATTATTTATTTTCCCTTCATACTGGGTGAATCTAGAAATTGCCAGTAGAAGTCACAGGATGAACTTATGAAAATGAAAATACAAGCCACACTAAACTCTGCCCTCATTTTTGCAAACTGGGAGTCCCACAACCTCCCTGGGTGTGAAACCACTGTTCAGAGGGAGAACGTGGTACCAGAAGACAGCAGGACTGTGACTGCCTGTGAGTTGTCCAACAATGCACAAAGTCCAGCAAATCTGCCTGAGAGGTTATAAGCCAGGTACACCGACTTCTGCTGTAGAAGAGGATGATTGCTTCCCTCCTTTCTCTGTACAAAATCCTGAATGGATTATCTGCTAAAGGATTCACATTGCATGCTGTGATGCTTAGTTACTTCCAAAAGTATTTTAATCACAGAATGTGTCAGTTGTAACTTGAAAGCTACCAGCATCAGTAAGCCCTGTAATGGATTTTTAACTATTTTTCATTTCTTAGATGGTGTTTGTGCCTTCAATCTGATGGATTTAAATATGGAAGAGGAATTCTAAAAGTGCTGGGAATAGAAGCGTGGGAAGACAAGCCACAAGGGGACTCGCTGCTGCTGTCCGTCTGCAAGTGATCAGAACACATCTCGGAAAAAATGGAAAAAAAGGCAACAAGCAATGAGACTGCGCCGCTAACTTCCAAGAAAGATGTCTCAGACTGTAACGAAGGAGAAGATTGCAAAGGGAACGGACTTCTGGTCAGGAACCCTAAATCTGCCCTGCGGCTAGTGGAGGATGGCAATAAAGTCCATCCCAGCCAGGGAGATAAAGGGGAGGCAGCTCAGATCTCAAATGGTTATTCAGGGGTTCAGAGTTCTGTTCCCTGTAATGGAATGGGAGAGGTGGAAGATGCCCAGTGCACTGCCCCAGCAGCCACAACCACCACTACAACCACCACTTCTACCACCTGCGGAGCAGAAGGCCAGCAGCAGCTGAAGGAGCTAGAAGACAGAGAGACCTGGAGTAAAAAAATTGACTTTCTACTCTCTGTCATTGGATATGCAGTGGATCTGGGAAATGTGTGGAGATTTCCTTATATATGCTATCAAAATGGAGGAGGTCAGTGACTAGTTCTGTATGCTGTTCCTTAATGCTGGACTTCCTTGCTTATAAATGGATGATTTAGTGGCTTATTTTAATATCATATATAACAAATGACCAAGGGGAAATTACTTTTCAAGCAGACTGGAAAACCTGAATACTGGGATAGGATAACTAGACAGATTAAGATGGAAGAAAAATTATTTAGCAAGATCTAAAAAATCAGTCCAACTAGAAGCTGAGAGCCGGTTAGGTGCAGAACCACCTTCCAAGAGAAGAGCCTCAATCCCTGTCCCAAGGAGTATTTAAAATCAGATAAACCAACATGTCAAAACACTCATCGGGAATGCTAGGTCTTGGACTCACTGACATTTCAGCCAAAATATACATCTGATCAAGGAGATCTTGGAAAGGACTTTTGTCTCCCTGGTGTAACAGGCATTTTACTGAAGAAATTAATTATTTTATCTGTACCCCATCTCACAGTTGTATCCATTGTAGGCAGTACAGTCTTGGTGAATCCTATGCACACTTGTTACAGAAATGTGAGTAGTTTGGCCTGAGTGTTGCTTCTTACTCACACTGCTGAGTACTTACTCTTACAAGCCCATGGTAATTCAGTGTGGGACACTGGCGCTTCTTACTCACACTGCTGAGTACTTACTCTTACAAGAAAGCCCATGGTAATTCAGTGTGAGACACTGGCTAGGGAGGGGCTATGCGTTTTCCCCGTGGGATAAAAGGAACTGTTGTTTATGGAGTGCTGGTACTGTTGGAAGAGAAGTCCTATGAAGAGTTATAAACATCTGCTTTCTTTCTTGCAGGAGCATTCCTCATTCCTTACACAATTATGGCCATCTTTGGAGGGATTCCTCTCTTCTATATGGAACTAGCACTAGGACAGTACCACAGGAATGGGTGTATTTCAATTTGGAGAAAAATATGTCCTATATTCAAAGGTAAAAAAGGGAAATGGAAAATTACTAGGAACTTCCTGAATAACTGGAAGATTTTCCTATAAAGGTGAAATTTCTGAAAAAAAAAATCTGAAAAGCTCATAAAACAAAGCAAGTCTTGTTCTACACAAGATTTTGGCTTTACAAAGAAAGCTTTCATAAAACTCTGTGTACATCTGCAGAGGTGTGTGTGTACTCTCATATACATGTATGACGTGCAACTCTCAAATTGATTAGATAGAGGCCAGTCCACTTTCCCTGACCCAAGCCTGAAAATGTCAAAAAAGAAAACAAAAAATGTAATTAATAAAGTAAGTGAATCCAAGGCAAAATTAAAACCAGGAAAGAGTAAAGATGTACTATTTCTATTACAAAGAAATACCAAAGAAATGATTCCCCACCTTCAGACTAGTCTGTCAATTGCTATCCTACCAGAGAGTCTTTTAGAGTAGAAGGACCTGTTCCATATGCTCGTTTACTCTTGCTCCCAGTGTTATAGCTCTGGTCTTGTCTTTTTTTTTATTTACTGAGAGTGCAAGATGCCTATTTCTAAATTCCCGGAATTTAGGAACAGGTGAAAAAAACCTATATAAACATGTACTGTCTTGATTAAGGATGCTTTTTTGGAATCGGAGCCTGAGTGTTTCCGAAGCCACAAGAAATTCCAGTGTTGTAAACATTTGAAGAGGGTATGTGTACCTCCTGCAGAACTGCCTTAGACAGTTAGTAATTGCAGTTGATGTAATAACCAATTCCTTCCTTTTTTTTTGGCCTAAAACTTACACTCACTTCATGTAATTATTTCCTGCCTTACTAGGAATTGGCTTTGCCATCTGTATAATAGATCTTTACGTAGCTTCCTACTACAACACCATTATGGCTTGGGCCTTTTACTACCTCGTATCCTCCTTCACGGCGGAGCTGCCATGGACTAGCTGCACAAATGCTTGGAACACAGGCAACTGCACTAACTACTTCAGCAAGGACAATGTCAGCTGGTCCCTGCACTCCATCTCTCCCGCGGAAGAATTTTATACGTAAGTGCATGTAAGTGAGGACAGTAATATTAGAGAGAACGGTGGAACATGTAGCAAGCTTTTCTTTGGAGGGGGAGCAGGGCTGTTTTATTAATGGTACCCTTTTCAGAACTATTCCAAGAACTAAATACTTGTAGGCGCACGTAAGCTTAGGGTGTATGGGAACGTACTCTACATTTTAGATCAGAGGTTCCCAACCATTGTCAGCTGTCATCACTTAGCATTTATCATCACTGGTGTACCATTAATATCAAGCTTTTAATTAAAAAAAAAAAAAAAAAAAAAAAAAAAAAAAAAAAAAAAAAAAAAAAAAAAAAAAAAAAAAAAAAAAAAAAAAAAAAAAAAAAAAAAAAAAAAAAAAAAAAAAAAAAAAAAAAAAAAAAAAAAAAAAAAAACAACCAAACCAAAATAACATGACTCTGAAGGCTACTTATCAAAGACTCAGGACTACTTGTAGTGCTCAGACCACAGTATGGGACTGTTCAAAGCATACTTAACATAAGCATTTGTTAAAAAAATATCTATACTGTGTTTTTCTTTCCTCTTTCAGCCGCCAAGTTCTACAGGTGCACAGGTCCAATGGGCTGGATGACCTGGGGGGCATTAGCTGGCAATTGACCCTCTGTTTATTGTTAATCTTCACCATTGTATACTTCAGCATCTGGAAAGGGGTCAAAACATCTGGCAAGGTGAATGCAAAAGCAAGACAAATCAACTTGGTACAGTACAGTCTAGCAGCAGTTCTAAATGAGCCAATTAATTAACTTGACAGAGAATTATCTCAGATTGTCTTCATGACAGGAATTATAGGCTCATGTATTTGGGAAGCACTTACTGTAGAGTGACTGCTAGTTATCCAAGTAATATATAACAACAGTAAGTTACGCCAGTGTTCTCTGGACAAGAACAACCCTGCCAAGAGAAAGCGTGGGTATAGCTGTGCAAACTGCCTGTTTACAGACCTTCTGAGAAGTTCACAGGAAGATGTTATAAATGCTAAGAGCTATAATAAGAATAACTCATTCTTACCACCTGTTAACTTTCTACCCATGGCAAATGCTCTCTTACTGTTTTCCCTCACAGGTGGTATGGGTGACTGCCACATTCCCTTACATCATACTCTTTATCCTGCTAGTGAGAGGTGCAACTTTGCCTGGGGCTTGGAGAGGTGTCCTCTACTACTTGAAACCTGACTGGCAGAAACTCCTGGCCACTGAGGTAAAAAATGTTATAAAAGGGTAGAGATTTGCTTTTAGTCTATCAGCGTGTATATAATTCAATGTCTATTTTCAGCATAGAGCATGATTAAACAGATGTCTTAGCATGGACTTAAAAGCCTGACTTCATGCTCTCATTTAAACAGTCATGCTATTCTTTCCATAATCATAAAGATTTTTTTAAAGATTAAGAGTCCACCATCAATTTAGCTTGAACTAACAGTAGAGTTCCCATACAGTGGTTGAATAGAATTAGTGATAGGATTAGAAAGAAAGCAAGTGACCAAACAATTTTTTGCCGGGAAAATGGTGAGCAGCCTGACATTGAGTGAGAAGCTATGATTGCTGCTACACTGCAACAAAATCCTTTACCTGTGACAGTCACACTGAGCAAACTGTATTTACTAAGCCCTAACAACTGGTCTAGCTGCAGTGTTTTTGGCTGTGAGGGGATCGTTACACACTTGGGCAGGCTTTTCCACAGCCCAACGGTGTCCACAGTTGCCCGTATTTAAATAGTGCAGGTTACTAGAGTTGAAACTTCAGCTCTCTATCCTGTGACAAGCTTTGGCAGATAAGCCCAAGGAGACTCTCTGTAGCCACCAACTAAAACACGAGCCAGTAATGCATGCAAGTGCATGTGGAGAGAGAATAAATCAGTTAGGCCTGCATACACCACCAAGATTTGAAAAGAAAGGAGGAATGAGGACAAGACTGAGCTAACCAACAAACCCCAGGCATTCCAGTATCTGATTCAGCTTTGAACTCTGTGGATGACAAGTAGTCCATCAGGCTCAAGGCTGCACTTACTTCACTGCCTATGAAAGTGTCTAGTGAGGAGGGTGATGGAAAAACCCCAAAGCAATAAATACTACAAATACAAAGATTAAAAATTCTAATGTTTGCAAGTCTGCTGCTGCTCGCCTGATACAGAGTTTTGAATGAAGAGGAAATGAAAAGACACCAGTCTCTGATAAAGCAGCATCTCCAATAAGGGACCACATCTTCTGAAAAAGCAATAAAGGGCATTGATATTGTATTGGATGTATCTGAAGTGAGGACAGCAGATTGCAATCTGTGTGCTGGACGATGACAGAGCTGTCTGTGGATGATACAGGATGGCCTCACACGATGGAAGAAAGTATTAGAAATGAGTTGTAATGAACTCCATGTTTCAATCAAAAGAGGATAAATGAATGAGGACTTTCACCTTCAGAAAGAGAACCGATATTGTACTTTAGGAACACTACTCATTAAGGCTGTGGCCACTTTTCAAGTACAACAGGCTTTTCATAACAAGATCATCACACTTGCATCTGTCATGGCTACAACAAAGCTGAAGTGAGTCCTAAGGACTAGAACTGCATCCACACTGTCATGTATTTCCATTAAGTCTAGGAAAAATCTGAGCAGCGATCATCTACTGCTGAGCCTGGAGGACACACAGCCAAACATAGGACTATTCCATAGCGCACACAGTCTGGAGGAAGGTGGGCCGAGCCCACTGCAAAATCATGGATAGAACGCTCTCTATACATAACAAAAGTTGTGTTAAACTGATTACAGGCAATTCACCGTGAATTAATCTAAGATGCTGTCAGAAGTGAAACTGCCAGTGAGTACTTATAATAGTGTAGAGAGATACAATAAGCACAGCATAGGCACTGTAATTATAGTGGATATTTACAACTCTCACAGATCTACAACAAATATTCATATTTCAACATGCTCTCTTAACAAAATGTTTGTTAGACCAGGACTAGAATATAGGCAGACTAGTGAAACATGGTTTTGTAGGGCTACGTGATATTCTGAATATGCCAAAATCATTTGATCTGTTTCATGTCATTTTTTTCTTGATCTTCAATATTTTTCAGGTTTGGGTGGATGCAGCAGCTCAGATTTTTTTCTCCCTTGGTCCAGGTTTTGGGGTCCTATTGGCTTATGCCAGCTACAACAAATTCCATAACAACTGCTACCAGTGAGTTCTACCTTATTCTAGACGTAAAATTGAGTTAAAAAAAGTAACTGTGGGTATTTACAAAAAAGAAACACTGGTTTCACATAACTTTCACCAGTGCTGGTGAAAGGCACTGAATTGTCAGACCTGTGTACATACAAATCAGACAGAAGCATAACAGAACAAAAGTCCTTATTGAAAGAACCTGCAATCTAAAACATTTCTTCTCTGTTGTGCCTACCCTGAAGAGAGATAATCTCTACCAATTACAGCAAGGAGTCTAACATGTAGAAACCTGCCACAACAAAATGGACTAAACCCCTGCCAAACAATCACATTGTAATTATTTAATCTCAGCAGTTAGGAAATTACTTTCAAGTCTTGAGCTGAAAGGCAATTTATAGTTGTTTCCTTCTTATCTTAAAAAAATTCTATTTATAACTTGTAAAATAAAATTCTGAATTCTTTACTATTCCTATAGTAATTCCTATTTTTTTTTTTAAAAAGCCCAGTATACATCCAGCATTCAATCCAGTGTCAGACCAACCTTTCAGCATCTGTTTGAAGTTGAAGAAGAAAAAGTAGTCGTGCGGTTTTGGTGGTTTTCCTTTTTTTTTTTTCCCCCCCCTTTCTTTCAAATCTGCTGCTTGTTCTTTTCATTGTACTACCCTAGTTTTTGTAGGAATCTATCCAGATCAGTGACTCACTCCATCTGGTAGTTAACTGTCCTTTCTAGCAGATGCCAATTCCCTGATATGAGTTAGGTCTTCTGTTGCAGAGATGCTCTGGTTACCAGTACCGTGAACTGTGTGACTAGTTTTGTGTCTGGATTCGTCATTTTCACTGTGCTGGGATACATGGCTGAGATGAGGAATGAAGATGTATCAGAGGTTGCCAAAGATACTGGTAGGCTAACTTTTTGTACACATCTCTCAAACTGCTTCTAAGATAGAATGTATTTGTTATTATCTTCTACATTGAGAACAGCCCAAATTAGGCAAAATATTTAGTATGTAATTCAGGATACTGACTTACTTTATGATAAGGGCACTGTTATAAATATACAGTACAGCTAAAAAATTATTCCACAAAGACAGCATATAGAAGTCATATTGCATGAAGCTTCACAGACGTGGTGTTAACTGCACACTGCAAAATAGCCTGCAGGGGAGAAGTTTTCCCCTGGAACACAACACGGTACAGTGAAACAGCCTGTCCTCCTCACAGCGGTAGTGCACTAACAATTATCCCTAATTCTCTGTTCTAATATCAGGACCCAGCCTCCTCTTCATTACGTATGCTGAGGCCATTGCAAACATGCCTGCTTCCACTTTCTTTGCCATCATCTTTTTCCTGATGTTACTCACACTGGGATTAGACAGCACGGTGAGTAGACGGTACGCGAGACAGCGGACCTCTCGGTATTTGATGTATGGCCTTACCCCCACAAACATCAGAAGAAACAGAACTACAAATATTGCACTGTCACTAAAGGGTTTAAAGCAGGATTGGCATCTCCATGTGCCTTCTGTAAGACAGCAACTATTACTCCAATTTTGACCTAAATAGGCCTAAATAAAATTAAATCATTTGTCAGTTATACCATGACAGTTAGTAACAGACCTGGAAGCACAACCAAAACACTTGATTCATAAACGCCCAGTTCAATGCAGCCTTCCAGGCTCCTCCTCTCTTGTACTTATAAACTTATAAAGCAAATATTAAATACTGGAATTTTTTCACACTAATTGGATTTCAAAGGTGGGAACTGGAGGTGGCCTTCTCAACAGCACTGCAAAAAGCAGATGTTCTAAAAACTTACCACATGAGCCTGTTTTTACAGATTGAGAATAAGCTCCTTGCAGGAAGGCTAAACTCAGCTGATTTCACAATCTTGGTTCTACTGAGCCACCTACCACTTACCGGCATCCTGTTACTTGTAATATAGTACTTTCTCTAGATGGTAGGCACTTCCTACAGATACGTGAAGACTAAATCCCCACCTTAAAAAGTTTAAAAGTTCTGAAGAAAGACTGTCTAAAGAACAGTCACACCAACTCTACAGGCAGAATAAAGCACCAGTGTTCAATGCTTTAAAGCTCCTTATGCATTGAAACATACTTTAAAGCAGGTGAAACTGCCCTCTATCTTCCAGTGATTTTTCCATGCTTTTCAGTTTGCAGGACTAGAGGGCGTGATCACTGGAGTACTGGATGAATTCCCGCATGTCTGGAGCAAACGCAGGGAATTGTTTGTCCTTGGTCTGACCATCATTTGCTTTTTGGCATCGTTAGCAACCCTGACATTTGTAAGTATTTTACCCGTTCCTCAGCCTTCCTTACTGGCAGCTTCCTGCAAATGACATCTTGGAGAGGGTAGTAGTTTTTGAAGAGAGTTTCAAGAAATCGGATTAAATCAGATTAAAGCCTGTTTTCTTTATGCATTAGAAATCTATCTTTGGAATGAATGTGAACAGTATCTCTCACTAGGAAATATGTGTTGCAAAATGATCCTATTGCAATTCAGCAAAACTCTAATGTGCTACACATCATAAATGACGCAGCTGTTGCTCCAACTGCTGAATCAGTAAGCAACCTTCCACATTTTGTACATGGTTTATTTGTTCTCAAAAGCTCCGCATTTAAAAATAATATGAATTGTTATTTTAATTTCCCAATGTTTGTTTGTCCTTGGTCTGACCATCATTTGCTTTTTGGCATCGTTAGCAACCCTGACATTTGTAAGTATTTTACCCGTTCCTCAGCCTTCCTTACTGGCAGCTTCCTGCAAATGACATCTTGGAGAGGGTAGTAGTTTTTGAAGAGAGTTTCAAGAAATCGGATTAAATCAGATTAAAGCCTGTTTTCTTTATGCATTAGAAATCTATCTTTGGAATGAATGTGAACAGTATCTCTCACTAGGAAATATGTGTTGCAAAATGATCCTATTGCAATTCAGCAAAACTCTAATGTGCTACACATCATAAATGACGCAGCTGTTGCTCCAACTGCTGAATCAGTAAGCAACCTTCCACATTTTGTACATGGTTTATTTGTTCTCAAAAGCTCCGCATTTAAAAATAATATGAATTGTTATTTTAATTCTCCCAATGTTCGAAATGTATTTGGAATTAAAAAAAGAATGATCAAAAAATTATCTGCTAGAAAATGCTGTAATTGACCGTTGCTGTTCTCTAAAAATTTCTAGCAATGAATTTCCTGGATCTTCCTCATCAAATCAGGCCAGAAATCATGATCAGTCACACCAAACAGTCCCTGTGGGGCTTGCGGGATTTCATTTTCACAACAAGCAACATTTTGAATAATGAGTGTAACGATCATAAGGGACAAGGAAAAAATACTTGGCTTTTCTGTCATGTTTCACTCCACTTGCTCACTTACATGCAACTTCCTTCTCATTTAAAGCATTTGCTGTAAAAGGAGACTTAGTTCCTCTCCGAGACACAATGCTCTCCTCCTTCATCTGATTCTAGATCCCAAATGGAAAGAAAGCAAAGGAACTCCCTATTTGTTTCCTGCTCAGTAACTATGGCACCTTCTTTCTCCAACCTGAGCCATCACAGAAGGCATGCAAAAAGCCATCCCACCAAGCCCCACCAAATCTCTTTTGTTCATTAAAATCCAGCTAGAACTGCCACAGATTCAGTTTTAGCTTTTCTGCACGGCACCAGAGAGCAGATCAGCAGCACGCCCAAGGATTTCACTGGCAGGAACTGCCACAAAGCGACAGAACTGACTGAATTACCCATCTGTGAATGCTCTGGTCCAGATGAAGGCAATAATAAACAACAGTATTACAGCATTTCCGTCACTGGATCTTTGGTTCACTGGTAATATGATCTGCTTTCTAGGGAGGCGCGTATGTGGTAAAGCTGTTTGAAGAATATGCCACTGGTCCAGCTGTCCTAACAGTTGTGTTTCTGGAAGCAATTGCTGTGGCCTGGTTCTATGGTACGTTTACTGCCACGTTGATAAACAACGCTATCCCAAACTCCTGAGCTTCTGCAGCATAGCATTTCCTCTGTTTTTGCAGACAAGATCACTGATGTCTCGGGAAAAAAGTTTACCAAAACTTTTTACAAATTCACCGATTACCAAATCTGTGAGAATTATATAATTGTTCTCTGACAGAAGTACAGTGACATCTCAAAGTAACAAGAGCTATAATTCAGAATAATTAAGGATTTAATATAATTAAGTTATATGAACAAAACAGTCTGTCATGATGGATTCTGAATTTATTTGCTGTGTATACAAAATGGCGTATACATTTACTTACAAAAAAGTTCTATCTGCTGTCACCACTCTCCTCCCACTTGTCTCCACAGGCATCACCCAGTTTTGCAATGATGTGAAAGAAATGCTGGGCTTTACCCCAGGCTGGTACTGGCGAGTTTGCTGGGCAGCAATTAGTCCCATGTTCCTTCTGGTGAGTTTTCTTTATAGCTTTTTCTTTCCAGCACAAGAAAATTAGCATTGAACAATGCAGCTACTTAGACTTCTAAAAGTTTAATTACAGAATTTTCTTGTGAAATTCTTTAGTAACAATTCTTGTTAAACCAAAAAGGCTCAATTAGTGAAAAATCCAATACAATGATGCAAGGTCTTGTTACTAAATCACTATTTTAAGGATTTTTGTAGATGAGCTAGATAAATAAGACTGGGTTCTGAGTAACTCCCCTCCTTCCCTCTGCTGAGCAAAGTTACTTTGTTTTATTGCTTTATATTTACCTCAGCAAAATGAAGCAATAAAAGATGATGATGAAACATACTGTCTGGGGAGGAGAACCAAGATAAGTGAATACACTGTCTCAGCAACCGCTGACTGACAACTCTAGAATATTCCACTTAAAATTTACAGCAGTTAATTGCAACCTTTATAAATCTCTAATTCAGAATTGGAAATACTGTCCCAATGTTTGACTTGGCAGTATTATTGATAACATTTTAACATAAAGTGTTCATTTCCTGATCCAAAATTAGTTCACGCTATCTTTTATTGTTACTAGCCTTAGTGGGAGCAGAGCGGGTCAAGACGGGGTTTATGAAGCACAGAATGTAGATTTAAGACCTACAGAATGAATTCAAAACACTTGTAATGATCAATGCACAATTAACAGATTTCATTTTATTACCCCTAGAAAAAGAAAGGAAAAATAGCTATAAATAAGTGTGACACCACAAGTAACTTTTATACTACTGTCCTCTTTGTGATCCTAAAACAGTAAAATAAACAGAGAGGAACACAGCTCTGGCGGTGTGGTTACCAGGCAGAGCTATTTGTATTCCCTGTGGAAACTAAACTAAACTAAGGAAAGCCCAGAAGGTAGTATGTTTTTCCTGTATGGAAATTTTTCTGGTAATCCTGATCTTCTGATGATACTCTGGAAAAAACAGTCTCAGAGATCCTTCTAAGGATAGTCACAAATATTATTCCTGTAATATTCAACTAAAAGTATTTGTTGTTTTACAAGAAATTTTTCAGTCATGAAGGACATGCACAGGAAAATGATCTAACAGCATTAATCGAGCTGACACCAGAATACTATATCCAAACTAGTAATAACATTTGTAAATCTACTGAAGAACCGAAATGCTATGGAAAAATATCACAGAAAAGATAAAACTTATAGAAAACAAGTAACAGTGAAAAAAATGGAATCTGTATAGCTTATCACAGAGAAAACTGAAAGCTGATGTGATTACCACAGGTAAGTACTTTAAGAGTATTTGAAAGAGTATTAAAAGGGTCTACAACCCAATAAAGAACAGCATAAAAAAACAACACAGTGGCTGTGAGTTAAAATTCAGACAAAGCAGAACTGACACTGATCGTAATTAAATATGGGACAAGTATTAAGTATTAAGCTCTGGTGAACTGGAGGCTTTTCCTTGAAATCACACAAGACACAGTATCAGCGAATGGGGGCAGTGAAATATTGGTTCCCTTGGGTATATTTGCAAGAACAAGTTCTTTTTCTCTCCCACACTTAGTAAGATTTCTCTGCCATAAATCTGTGGCAATCTGTGATGACGTTTTTGGGGTTTCTTCTAAGTTCACATAAATACCAGTTCAGAAAGAGTATCCAAGTAAACTGAAACTGTACACTTCCCATTTCTGGTGGCTTCAGATTAAGATGATGCCTTTCTGGAAGGGATGCTTTAGCTGGAATCAAGTTATAGGGCTCAATACAAGGGTAACTGGATGAATTTCTGCACACTGGAATCAATCAATCCGATTTTGTCCATCTAACATCTTTTTATCCTTTAAATGTACAAGTCCGGTCCTGAATTTTCTCTCCAATGCTTCATAAGCAAGAAGCACACCACGTGTATTTACAGAATAAGCAATCCACATGAGAATTTTTACCTAGTTCCTTTCAGTTAGTTACTCATTGGGCTCTACTCTAAAGCTCCTGAGCTGTTTTAAACTTCCTGAAGGAAAGTCTGGATATCCAGAAGTGGGTTTGGGTGGGTTTGGTTTTTTGTTTTGTTTTAAATCCATACTAATGTCATGTAGGATTTTTTCACTGTCGACATGTTTAAACCTTCTTGAGTCCTACTCATTTTTTTTAGTTCAGTGCTATGCTGGGACACAGCGTTCCCTAAAGTAAGTATGTACACATATTCATACTTTCCTCTTTTCTTTTTCAGTTTGTCACTTGCAGCTTTCTGTCCAATCCTCCTGAGCTACGGCTTTTTGATTATAATTATCCCTACTGGACCACAGTAGTGGGTTATTGCATAGGAACCTCTTCTATCATCTGTATTCCAATCTACATGGTTTATCGGTTGATCATCACTCCAGGAACACTTAAGGAGGTATCCACGATGCTCTGTTGATTCTATTTGGCTGTTAGGAAGGAGTTGATTCCTAGAAATATTACGTGTAGATTTTTCTAGGGTCTGATGCCCTGGGACTTGAGAATCACTGCTGTTCTGTTCCTAGCCAGCTGATAGCTAATTGTCTTCTGCCCATTCTAAGTGATTCACAAATCTCCCCAGGTCTTACTGAGCCCGCTGACATATTCATATAAAATATTAAATCAAGTATTTTTTTTTTAAGCTCTGGTGAACTGGAGGCTTTTCCTAGAAATCACACAAGACACAGTATCATGCGAATGGGGCAGTGAAATATTGGTTCCCTTGGGTATATTTGCAAGAACAAGTTCTTTTTCTCTCCCACACTTAGTAAGATTTCTCTGCCATAAATCTGTGGCAATCTGTGATGACGTTTTTGGGGTTTCTTCTAAGTTCACATAAATACCAGTTCAGAAAGAGTATCCAAGTAAACTGCAAAGTCCTAAAGCATTAATACGACATCTGTCAAACTTTGATTCAAATTATGTCTTACAAATAATTAAAAAATAATGCTGTGTACTTCTATAGCACCTTAAGTCTTCATAGAGCTAACAGAAGCCTGAAACATCCTTGTGTGGTTCAAGAGGTATAACTCAAACCAGAGGTTTTTTTTTATTATAAATCTCTTTCCAAATGGCTGTCATGTTACATATTATCTCTAAAATGAATCAATTTCTAATATTGATTTCTTTCCAACAGCGTATTCTGAAAAGCATTACTCCAGAAACAGCTACAGAAATTCCTTTTGGAGACATCCGCATGAATGCAGTATAAGCTAACCTGTTTTCTGGGGGGAGAGAGGGGGAGCATAAAACGTAACTTTCCCCATACTCTCTCCCCCAAAGAATTACATTTCCAGCTGAGACAACAAATGGAGGAGTTTTCTGTCACTGACAACGGGCATTTGGAAACAGGATGCCTCCAGCACATTTATCCAAGCAATTCAATGAAATCTACTGTGCACTTCTTACCAGACTGAACGAACTGACTGAGAACTAATTCATTCTGGAAACACGAGGATGTCTGTGTGCATGAGAATACCACTACTCCATGCGTGGGCACTGGGGCTGTTTGAAAGTGTGCGTGATCACATAAGCCACTATAGGACGAGTATCGGTGGGTAGGATTAGGTGTAGAATCCCAAGTCTGTGGCAGTACTCCTGCATCTTCCTCAATGTGATCGTTCGTACTGGGCAATGTCGTATTCGCTTCTAAGGTTCTAATTGCTTAAACTACATTGAAAAATACAAAAATATTTCTGATAGCCACACATTACTCAAGTAACACAGGGTTTTATAAGCTAGGAAAAAAAATTAGTAAATTCTTCGATCCCTAGGTAGTGGAGTAGACAGAGGAAGAGGAAACAATCCTGAGCAGCACTATATACAGCTCTGCATATGTTAGCACACACATTTGGTAGCATTATCCTCCTTTTCATTTCCTGCGTTTTGTAGATGGTAACAGTCTCTATTAATTGTTTCTTGCATAACAAATACTACAACAGCATTTTTTGTAACGTTGTAGGCCTCACTTTCCTTTAGACCCAATCAAGCCACAAAAAACTCATCATGGGTTACTTGACAAGTACCTAAGGTGCTAGTACTTACTATACTGTTTTCATAACTAAGCTAGATGTTCACAAAATTATTGTCTGACAGCCCTAACACTTACACCCGAAGAGACTACAGACCAACCATGAATTTTTTTGAGTTCCAATGCCAAAAAGTGGAATCTTAGAGATCTGCTTCTCTGCTTTGCTGTTTTTTTGGTTTTTTCTTTTAAATTTAATTTCACACTAACATTTGCTGGAGCCTGTGGCTTTTTCTATTCTTTCCTAGTACAGAACTAAAGTTTAGAATAATCCTTTTGGCTGGCTGACAGAAGTACGTTTAACAAACTATACAAACCTACTTTGAAGATTTATTAGCTCATATTAGCTCATATTCTAATGTGAACACATTTGGTTTTCACCCTGAAGAAGAAAAGGAGGGGAAATTTTTTTAACAAGGAGTAGAGTTCAGCAGGATTTGTTCTCATCAGAACTATTTATATTAAATTTTGAGGCACTGATATACAAATTCATTTCCGTGCACATACTAACCTCTTTATATTATATGCATACACACGCTCTTCAAATGTAACTGCCCTTCAGACTGACTGCAATTGCCAAGTCAGCTGGAGGACGATGGTTTTGCTGCAGTTACGTGAAAGTTTAGATAAACCTAAGTAGTAGTCATTTATGTAAAAGCTTACATTCTATTTTTACTCTACCACATAGATTATAACAAAAGTAAAATAAAATAGAGGATAAAAGTCTCTTTTGTATCTGTCAGTCTACTTAGGTAACGTACTGCTAAAATTAACAAGGTTATATATGCATTCGTAGCAGCAGGCATTAAGAAACCTAGTGAAGAGTTTACATCGGTACGAAGAACTTACCATGTTAGAGGAAAGCAGTGATGGTGTGTTTGCCTTTTGAAAACTTTTTCATCTTCCGCCAAGGTTTTTCTCCTTCGGTGTGCAGACACCTCCTGGAGGAAGGCTCCTTACACTTCAGCTCTTGACTTGAGTTCACTTAACTTTAGGTCTCAAGCCCAGCTTCCAATAAGGAAATAACTTAAAGGGACAATGGCTGTTCTTTCGGAACGACAAACAAAAGACTCCTAAACTGTTTTTAAAAAGGGAGTATATTCTTGCATTGCCACCAGAAAAACATAATAAGTCTGTCTTACTGGACAGTTACTCGTAAGAAATAGTTTTGTAGCTTATCCCTCAAGTATATTTGAAAACTACTTCCAAAACTGGCTTCATTGTGAGGAAAAGAGGAACAGTTTGGGAATGCTTTTAATATTGGAAAGCCATTTAGTTATTAAGTTACCAGTCAGAAAATTACTGATTTAAAATAAAAAATATTATCTGAGTTCATTAATTGAAAAAATACTTATGAATTGTTAATGTAAGATGAATGAGGTGCTCCTATGTATCCAATATCAAGGGTGGGAAATAAAGGAGAAAGCCCTACCCAGCTTCTCCATTCTTCAGACTGGTGTTCAAATAACGCTAGGTGGTTTTCCTCCTAAATAGGTAAGTATTTAAATAGATAAATCTTACAACTGGAAATTCTTGCCAGACTTGATACTGTTTCATGCTAGGCTCATTAAACCAAACCAAACCGACCGACCCAAAACTTACCGTTCCAATTTTTAGTCATTTACATATACCCAACTTGCAAAAGCCTCTTTAAACAGACGTTCTGCTACCTTTTATTAGTAAGGATGAAGGCGGGGACAGAAATAGTTGAGTTAAATATAAGCCTTATCTGCATCCACGCCAAAGTTTCTCTTTCAGCCCTTGCAAACAAACTGAAACTGGGAACATTATTTCTAATGGAATTATTTGCAGAGTAGTAATTGCAGAAATCACTGCTATTTAGTGTGCAACACTATTGATGTTATTCTTTTATAACAACATTTGAAATGGCAAAAGATGCCTCTTTAATTTGTATTTTTTAAGACACTAATATACAACAGACACTGTCTCTCCGAGCATTTTTAGCACAGAATGCCAAGCAAGGAATGCCACTGTTTTCTAGTGGACTAAAAGTCAGCCAAGAAGCCCTGCAACAGTCACGGTGTAAAATAGGGCAGGGTCTCTCAGCTTGAATTTCTCAGTTGAAAAATGAGAATAATGCACTCTGAGTACAGATGTACTGAGAGAGGTGAAAGTTTTTAAAATCACTTGAAGATACAAAAGGCAATGTAGACATGCAAAGTCACAGGAAAAATATTTTTAGAAATGGGCAGTCCAGATCATTAGTGATATGATTCTATGTTAGAGTCACAGGAAAAATATTTTTAGAAATGGGCAGTCCAGAAGATCATTAGTGATATGATTGTATGTTAGATCTTTGCTCTCTTTTCACCAGGGTAATCCAGTCCGAGGTCTTTATGGGAACAGGGGGCAAGGAAGCCCTCCAGAAGTGGATTAAAAAGGCTTTTCTTTTCCTGAATAATACAAAGATAAAATACATCCATGTTTTCATTCTAGAAAAGCTGAACTTGCAAGGCAGTTTAGTTCCCCTTTTTTTTTTTTGGTTACATGGCATACCGGTTTGAAGTCTTCTAAATATTCTTGTGATAAGTTCATTTTTTAGTATCTCTGTTTAGCTGAGTGGTTGAAATATTGAGAAATTGATTTAATTTATTTTTATCATTGGTTCTTTTTTCTTCCTTTTACATATCCATCTGAAAACATTCAGAGTAACCAATATTTATCAGATAGCTCATCAATTAGCCATACATTAAACACTGGTTTTGTACAAAAACTAGTTATATTGATACCAAATGGGCTGCACTGCAATTAAGTGTTCTGAGGCAAACAAACAAATTCCTTCTCTTCAGCTCACCTTCCGCTTCTCTATCACACGGGTATATCCTACCCTCTATTCTGAACAGTGAAAAGGAAGTTATGAAACTGGTAACTTAGGACCACGTTTGCCTTTGAAGCAAAGAGAATTAAACTACGGTTTTAGCTGTACAGAACTAAGTATTGCCTCCAACTTGTACATGATGCACCTGTATTAATTTATGCGGCTGTTTAGTTACAAGTGTTGCAAGCTGATTGTAAGTCATCAGTATGTGCCTTGTACTGTAAACTGTTATTGTAATAAATTTAATATTCATAATCCATCTGTAGACGTCTCTTGTGCCTCTCTCTTATGGGAAGAGCAAAGATAAGACTCAATTCCAAGAAAAAGCAGAATATCTAGTCCAGTTTACTACACCAACAAGGCCTCTGACAAACAGCAAAGGATTTCCTTCAGTGTTTGAATCTTGGCCCACTGCTAAATACTCCTTCATTCTATTCCAACAGAAGAACCAATGCACATTACATTTGTCTAGACAGAACAGCAAAACCAAACTGATCCACACTTGGAGTAAGCACTTAGCTACTTGATTAGCTTACATATAAAACTCATACCATTTCAAGTCTTTGTAAACTGGCAAGCTTGGCATTTAATTTTACTCACATTTTGTCTAATTACTAAGTCTGATGAACAAAATATTAGAAAACCACCATCTCAAAAACTTTTTTTTATATTAGTTCACCTTACTGTAGCATAAAAGTGAAAAATTTACCACAAAACAAAGTGAAAGAAACTATCATGGAAAGTGTTGAAAATGTATTCTAAAAACTATGACCACTGTCAGATATCCTACTTACTAAGTTACAGTTTGGAGATAACTTTAGTCTTGATTATGAACCTTTGGACAGATTGACAAATCTAAAATATTACCTCCAGCAGAACAAGCAGGTATTACTGTAATACATGAAAAGAGACTCATATACCTTATTTCACGCAAAAAAGATGCAGTAAAATAACACAAGCATCAAAAAAGACCCACGCATTAGATCCAGTATGTATCTTACACTTTATTTAAGTGTTTCTGTACATCGGGTTCCTAAAACCAAAGCCCACACATAAATACAAAATTCATATATCAATATGCATTTAGCTTACAAAATGCCATACTACGTACAGAAATCTCCTAGGTTATTATTCAGGCTGTTTTTCTTGCTTTTTTCCCACTTTTACGGGTCTGCTTCTCATTTTTGAGAGTATCAGTGGGCAACAATGACTCCTGCTAAGGCCTGAGAACACCTTTGTTTCAGCAGAGCTCACTGTTTCAGCTGGTGGAAGGAGCAGGGGCTGCCAGGGGGAAGTATTCTCACCTCACATTGTTTAACGCTCCGAGGTCTGTCCCAGAATCTTCAAGTATCAAGGATAGGGTACTGAAGGCCAGGGTGGACAGAGTCAGCCACATTTAATATTTCAACTGTATAAACAGACTAAGGGTGTGTACCAAGTGATCCAGTAATCCATTTCAAAAGTTGTTCTTCTACTATGGCACACACAATTTATTAAATGAAAGCCAGGAATAAATAGCTAGGATACACTTTTACTTCTGTACAAGAGTCCATGCAGCAGTGGCTTTTCCTCTTGGCTGACAGACCAAGTGTTTTTGCCCACCGCAAGGACATTAATCTTCTTCCTTCTCAATGTAAGATTTAGAACTGACACGTGCCATTTGCCTGGCTAAATAGCGGTCCCTTGCTGACATGACTGTCTCTTCATTGCTCCGTTTGGCAAATTTGCTCATGCTCTCAGATGGTTTCTGTGCTTGTTCTTTCTCCTCTTTCTCCCCTTCTCCAGCTTTACGTTTCTGCTCAGACAAAATTCCAGAGCTGGATCTTCCCTTCTCATCCACCTCTCTCTCTTTTCCCGTTCTCTCTTTTTCCAGATCAGTCTCTCCACCTTTTTCTAAAGATGTAGGAGTACCTTCCCTCCTCTCTCTGTATTTCTTTTCATCACGACCATATTTCTCTCTCCTCTCCTTCACATGATCTTCCTTTTCTCTGCATTTCTCTCCTCTCTCCTTCTCTCTGTCGTTGTATCTTTCTTTACCATTTCTTAGTCTGTCTTTCTCTCGTTCCTTTTCTGAGCCCTTCTCTTCTCTCTCCTTTCCCTTCCTCCATTCTCTGCTATGTCCCTCCCTCTCTTTTCTTTCCTTCCCCCTTTGTTTACCATCTTGCTCTTCCCTCCTTCTGTAGTTATCTTTATTAGTATGATCCCCGTATCTATGTCGCTCTTCCTTTTCCCTTTGGTGATCCTTTTCGTGGGTCCTACTTCTCTCATAATCTTTTTCCCTGTACCGTTCATCATTTCCCCTTCTGCTTGGTCTGCTCTCTCCCCTCTTTGTAAGATGGTTTGTTTGGGCTTTTGTGCGCAGCTCTTCCTCCACACTGGATGAGCTTGGTGACCTGGAATGCCTCTGGCTCTTGTGACGTTTAGCCTCCTCCTCACTGCTCACAGAGCTCTCTCTCCTTTTCTTCTTTTTCAAATTTACTTTACTATTTTTGTGTGTCTTATCATCATCACTACTATCAGTTCCTAAGTCGGTATCAGCGTCTGGATTGTTCTCTTCCTTATCAGAGGGCTTCAGTCTTTGCCCTTCATATGGGCACTTGTTCCTTTGGTTGGATTCATCATAACAACTGTCAGCTTTTTCTTCCTTTATCCTACATTTTTTATGTTAAAAAAGAAAAAACAACATTACACAGCCTGAAATCTCAGACTTTTCTACAAACTGACTTCTGGTCAGGACTTAAGCAAAAGATGCTGCTGAAAAGTCTAAGAAAGCAAATCTGTCCGTGGCTCAGGTTCCAGGAATCCAGCGCAAAGGATTTCTATTAAGTATCTGTATCTGGTTCATTGGTGAATGTGAGCTGATTAATTTATCCAAAAGAATGACTATGGTTAAGAATCTGTAGCCTCCATCTAAGGACAAAGACATAGATTTGTATTCTCGTGTAAGCTTTTTGGCAAGCTACACATTTTTTCCTATGTGTTTATTCCTCTATTCACGTCAAATAATTATCCAGGGAAGAAGCAGGTTGTATGTTTTGTTGACAGAGGTAGGAACATAGCTTCCATTAGTAGTAGTAGAAGATTTTTTTAGTCTGCTATTTCTGAAGATCTCGGTCTTATGGCTAGATAGAAATTAGTATCTTTTAACAGTTCATAGATTCTTAAATACAAAAAGCCGACCCATAGAGGACCAATTTGGGCAGTAGGCAGAAAGGTTATGCTTTGTCATTCTTTTCTGACTGATAAGGAAATATATGTTTACTCACACCAGCCACATGTCTCTGCTTTCTAATCCTACAGCTACAGTAACAGTCTGTGGTAAATTCTTATGAATCAGCACACCATCTAGTTAGATTGAACATTTGATGCATGCTTGAAAGCATGGTTAGTCCATGAACAATGACTAAAAATTACGCTGAAAAGTTTGATAATTTATTTAGTAATCCAATTAATTAAAATGACAAGTCAAAGTGGATCACTTAAGGACAAGTGATGCAAATTCTGAGATCTAAAAATCAAGCTGTTTTCTCTCTGTATCCTATTGTACCACCATAAGAAAGAATAAAATTAAAACATACACCTGAGCTTATTTGAAAGCCTTGCTGGGAGCACCATCTACAGTACTACTTGTTTTCTCCTGAATTAATTTTATATAAAACTCAGAAAAGGAACATTTCCTTAATTTGCAAGATTAAGAAACCATCATTTCAAATGATCTCTACACAGTATAAAACTACATCTTCCTGAAGACGCTCTGAAAGAAGAACTATTAAAGCAAATGGACAACCAAGTGGACTGACCACTACTGCTACTGTTTTTATAAAGAGATGCAAGTGAATAACTTAAGATTTCATCAATAAAAAGAAGAAACTATAAAATGCAAAATTCATTTAACCACCTCAGTAGCACCACTGAAACCACACAGGTATTCCTCTTTGGTGAAAGCCTGAGACAGGATGTTTTTCCAAACACAGAGGTATACTAATACTTTAAGTCTCAAATGACAAAACTGTGGCCTCAAATTTCCCATTTTCTGCTTAAATTCAGGAAGCCGTTCTGCTTTTCTTCCAGTCAGTAATTCTTACTTCCTATTTCTTTTACGCTGCTTTTCCCTATTTATTTCCAATAAGATGGCATATCTTTATACTAAAGATGTAATTGAGAATTCCCTTATTTCAGCTAGCTGAGTAACTTCACTGCAATCACATTCTTCATTTAAGCTAAGAATTTACTTTATAATAATCCAATCTCAGATCTAGAAGATCTATTGATGAAAGCTGCATTTTCTTTGTGATGGCAAGCATTTAACTAGTGACAGCCAGGTTTAAAGCCTATCTCAAGTGAGCTTTAACCTGAATTA